CACTTCACTATCCATTAGACTACCAAAAAAAGAAAAAATTAAAAAAAAAAAAAAATTAAAATAATATTAATATATATATATTTTTTTTCAGATCCATTTGTGGCGGACGATATTTAATTGTGGCGGCCCGCCAGAAATAAATCAATGTATGGGAAACACTGACTAGGGCTGTACGCAAATATTNATAATTTCCATGTCAAAAAAGTCACATTTTGTCGTAAAACTATTGAAATATAAGACGATGAAAAATACGCAACTAGAAAGACTACAAATCCCAGAGTCCGGGACTCTGGGATTTGTAGTCTTTCTAGTTGCGTATTTTTCATCGTCTTATATTTCAATAGTTTTACGACAAAATGTGACTTTTTTGACATGGAAATTATTTTTTAAATTGACAAACATCATATGTGTAATTCGTGGCACAATTCAAACGGGATCGAAAGGTAATCTTTCTCTCTTCATTGACTTCAATACATTATTTTTCAGAAATAAGGTCCCATGGGTCGGAAGTAGATGGGCGGGACTTCGCCTCTCTATTCACGGACAGTCATTATGCTAAGCTAAGCTAATCAGCTGCTTATTGTAACTTCATATTTAAGGCACACATAAGAGAGTGGATCTTAAGCTCAGAAACACAGCAAAGGGTTAAATCACAAACAATTTGAGCTATTCGTTTAGTTTCCATAACATAACGAGGATTACACATCGGATAGTAAATTGTGTTGGAAATATGAAAGCAAGAGGAGGAAGTCCATTTAAATAAATAAGCACTTTGAACTTGATGGACGTCATAGAAAGACATTTTTAAGTGTGTGTGTGTGTGTGTGTGTGTGTGTGTGTGTGTGTGTGTGTGTGTGTGTGTGTGTGTGTGTGTGTGTGTGTGTGTGTGTGCATACTGAATAATGACTCAGATTCCTGTCGTGGTCTAAAAGAACAAGAGTTCATTTCGTTACGCTGCCAACAGAAAACAGCCGGGGGGTTTTCTGGATGTTCATTCAAACAGAAATAGAAGCTCTGCCTCGAAGCTCCTGTATCTCTAAAATCTTCAAATTAAAAGGGTGTCAATAAAGTTTAAAGGTGTTTGTCACTGAGCTGCTTCACTTTACTTTAATATCTTTTGTACGTATTGAATGGAAGCTTGTTTTCATTCATATTTAGAGATAAAACCTGCAAGGAAAGTTGTTGGTGAATAAAAAAAATAGATAATAATTATATAAAAAATAAATAAATATATAACTTTAAACAAGTGATTGAATACATAATTAATTGCTTAATTAAAAGGCTTAAAAGGAGCAATATAAAAAGGAAAAAAGCTGGATATTTTCTGGTATTAATGTGTTTTTTTTTAACACTTTACCAACTGTATTTTATTATCAATACATGACTTTAATCTCAGAGAATTTATGAATTTTTCTTTTAAATTTGTGGTTCTTTTTTTACTCATAAATGCACCGCTTTTCGACTATTTCTATTTAGTCTTTGCTCCGTAATTATATGGTAGAAATATTGTTCTGTGCAATGGTCTTAAGTTATGAAAGGAAAGGGATATGTTCACTGTCTAACCGCTGAGCCTGTCTTTAAGTGCTTTCACATTTTTACAATTCCTGACAAAGGTCACGTCTGCTTTTCTTCTGAGGAGTTCCACATCTGCCTCTTTCTGCAGACTTTCCTGCAGCAGCTGCAGAGTGAGTTAAGGTCGGAGCTTTTCAAATAACGGTCGCCTCTCTGTTTCCTCTGGCAGCGTTAAAGAGTTTGGAAAAGATTGAATGCATCACGCAGTTAGTAGGTTAGCTCACAGGGTTAATTATGCATGCAATAAGGAGCAGGCATACATTATTACGTTGGATGCACGATATATATATATATATACGGAAATGGTTCATTTAAAGGATTTCATAGGAGAGAAAATGCTTATCTTTGGCAGCATCTACTCATGTGGTTACAGGAAGTGGTGTGTGCATCCGTTAATGTGATTAAAACATGTCATTTTTTACAGTTTTAGAGAATAAAAACAAGGGTGCAATTTGAAAAACAGCCTTAATATTTTGTGCTTCACGAGAAAACACTAAATAAATATTCGAAAATCTAATATGTTGTTTGTTTCTGTGTGATGTCAGCTAGATTGAATTGATCTTTTCTTTTTTAAACTTTGTTTATTAGGTTTTTTCAACAGCATACAGTTATTCTATCAGAGCACGTATCAAACGGAGGTAAACACATCTTCACTTTATAGAAAAATAGGAGTAAACAATGTAAATCCTGCTTTTTTTTTTCTAAAATACGTGATATTGGGCCTATGACCACAGTCGCTTTTTATCTTTTAAAGACCTAGAAAGGGTTATTACCGCCCTTGTTACCATCGAGACTGGATAATGCAAGCGTCTGTTACGGTGGGCTTGGACCAGGCCCTCAATGTATACGACCTGCAGCTAGTGCAGAACGCCAGGCTGCCACGTCTTCTGACTGGCCCACAAAAAAGCGTGACCACATCACCAATTCTGGCCCTCACTGCACATGGCTTCCAGTTCGGTTTTGCAGAATTGATTTTAAAATCCTTTGTATTTGTTTTCAAAGGCCCTAAATGGGCTGGCTTCCGGCCTATGTAGCCCGAACTCCTCCAGCGTACACCCCAGCCAGGCCTTAAGGTCTGCTGACAAGTGCTTTGTTTGATAGTGGCCCAAGACCAGCTCAAAAACGCCGAGCGGGCCACGAGCCTTCAGCTTGGCCCAGCTCGGAACACCTCTGCCCCTCCATGTGAGGTCGGGCCCAGACCCTACGGGGTCTTTTTGAAGTCAAACACTAAAGGACTCACTCTCTTCTCCCTGGCCCTTCTAGTCAGAGCGGAGCCGGACTACTGACTGTTCCCTGCCTGTTTTGTTTTTTAGTATTATACGTTCTAAATGTTGTCTTTTATTGTAGTAAAGTGTTTTATTACATGTAAAGCACTTGCATGTGCCTTTTAAATAAAACTGATTTGATTTGAATTGATCTTTCTTACTATGTCTTAGCGCCTTTT